TTGCTTATTCACTGTGGCTCCCATCTCTTGATGTCATTGCGACACTGTATTCTGTGGTACTGTCTTGCCATCGTCTTTCACCCAATTTGCATCGACATGGAGATTGTGATGTCGCTCGACCGTTTCGTGGCGATCTCCCACCCTCTCTTGTATCGCAGATGCAACAGAAAGTTTTGCCTCGCTCTGCTGGTAGTTATTTCTGTGCTACATGGAGTGACCGATTTATTATGTCGAATTCTTCTTTCTCACCATTCGGCCAAAATTCCGATCTGTCTTCTGTTCTATACAGGCCCTGAGGAAGTGATCGATGCAGCGAATGGCTTGTTTTATATCGCAGCGATAGTTGTGTTGATCCTCAATTTGTACGTGATTTTCCTTGCATTGCGACAGCGTCGTCGAGTAAGGCAGCAGCAGGACGGCAGCGGCTCAGCGAACCGCCAATCATGGGATATTCGAATCGCGCGTACTCTGACGTTCTGCATCGCATCAGATACCATAACGCGTGTCATCTGTCAGATTTTGAGACAATATGCTCGACATTCGAACGACGCTGTCAGGCGACGGAACTTAGGTTTGTCTGCAGAGCTACTAGATTTTTCAGCACTGGCAACGTTTGTAATTCTAACAGTCCGATCGAGCAATCTTCGAAATGTTATGCTGAAGCCGCTTAAATCTGTCAAAATGTTCGTAATTGAAATCGTACAGTGAGAAATTTCATGAACATTACTGTTATGTGTCCAGGAAAGCTGAAAGCCAGCAGCACACTTTCTTGAACGGTCTTTGCTTCCATAGTCTGTTGACTGCTCTGGAATCGGTTGGTTTATCGCTAATTGTTCTTTCATACGTTTATCTCTAATTTTGTCATAAATATCTGCTTTCTGCTAACTTTCTCTTTTCTTTACTTAACATCAGTAGTCTAAAATGAACATGTAGCGTTAAACAGTTTACTCATTCACAACGGAAAAGATACTGTGGTCAGTCTGGTGACTGGTCAGTACCGACGTATTGGCCCGTGTCTCATAGGACTTCCTCAAGGTAGTTTTGTGGTAAAACTTTGTGACTTTGTGATTGTGGTAGGTCGTCCAGGGCAGTCGATAGTTTCGGAGCCAGAAGACAGCCTTTCGGTCTGCGCTACTGGTTAAATAGTTTTTGGGCGACGGGGCTCATCAAATCCGCGCAATATTCACATTCTTTGTTTAACGGTTTACTTTTGAGCAGGATTGTATGGTCGATGCCTCCTTTATCCGCCTATGTAACCAGTATCTCTTTTTGATGATGCCGCTACACTCAGATCATCGGGAGGAGTGTCCTTGCTTGGCCTCATGCTGCACAATCCCGGCGGCGGTCTTCTCTCATTGTTCCTTGATTTTGCTGGGGGCGACGCTTTGTTTTCTTCCTAGATGCTTCGTTATCACCTTTCGCACAGGCTTGTCAGCGATCATCCATCTTCTTTATAACATGCCTATTATAGTTATAAAAATTAACTATTCTTTTTTCGTGTATGGAAAAATTTTTAACCGGCCACGCAGTTCTTACCGTGAAAGTATGACTTTCAAGAATCATTGTTCGGCACCTATTTAAATAGCAGTGTTCAGTTTCAGCAGTAGATTAACATCCTTGATGACCGTCGGTTATATTTACTCTAGCCACTGACTCAGTTAATTCAGACAAGTTATTAACTGAGACGTATTTCAGCGAAGTGGGATTTCATGTCGTTCTTATATTTGAACATTACTTTAAGCCTTAAGTTTTAAGAAGTAGTAAAATAGTCCTGCCACTGTTGTCAGTATTGATTCAACGGCGACATTTTTGGATTCATCAAATGTCACTGATCTGTTTTCTTCAGTTGATCATGCATTTTCACAATGCTAAGACTTACTTCTTATGCCTGTGATTCTTCAGTCTGATCTGAATTAATGTGCAGACTGCAAAGTGGTCTGGTGCAACTATTGTAACACCATGTGGAGAAGTTGCTTGTTCGTTTTAATCACCTGTACGAAATGTGTGTCTCAACCCCTTGCGACTATATACTCACTTTTTGGGTGTTTATTCTAGCTGTTTCTTCTCTTTCGAGCATTCCCTGTAGTCAGTGAAAGTTTGTTTCTTTCTACTGTTTACTTTGCTCCGGATAGCATATAGCTGTTTAATGATAATTATTTTGTCGTGAAGGCGAATGACTTTAATAAGAAGTGTTTTGTGGCGATGTCTTACATGCTTGTGCTCCGATGATGTTGAATTATAACCGTTAACATAAAACCATTGTTCAAGATTTTCCGGTTCTGGACTGTTGCATTCACTTCACATTTTTTATAACTGCAAAATTAGCTGCTTAAAGAAAGCACCATCTTTAATCGTAAAACATGATTGGGAGATAGAAATTCATGTGTTGATAAATCGCTCATAAAATTGTCCAGCGGTTCGAAGGGAAACATCATGAGTCGTTTGCCATATGTTTACTGTTGCCATGGGGAGAGTCTGACAGACTTTTTTTAGTCGACTCTAAGTTACTATGATGATCTCAGAAAAGTCGCCATCGACATAAAGAACATTTTCTCTTGACACGAGTTTGTGCTTTACTTCAGAACGGGCCGTTCAGTGACTAACGTATTGATGTCTTCGCATCTCGCACTATTTATAAAAACTTCAGTGTCATAAACTTTGTAGACTGAGTCATTACAGGAGGCGGCAGATGTACGGTCATGCATGTGGCATAGTTTAAGAAGCAACATAAGGTAGAATTAAAAGGTGTATCTACTGCTTTTGTAAGGACTACTTATCAAGTCGAAAATGAGCAGAATAATACCGCAAAATGACGTATATACCATCAAGCGACAGTGCAGTACGTCGCGAAATCCGTTCGTGGAAGAGTAGGGCGCTATTTGGCATATTAACGTACTTTAATGTTTATGCGGTAGCATATAAGGACTATTAGCTCCTGAAATGTCGTTCATAATAAGTGCAAAGTGCTTGTAGGGAACAGAATGATGCGAGATGCACCTGTGTATAATATCGTCAAAATAAAGGACATTCAGATTTATTTAACTTCATTGTGTATTATTCATGTACGGCGATTAATTTTCATAGTTGCTATGGCGTTCACGGCTTCATGTGATTACTAAGTAAAGGATATGTTTGTAAACTATTGGTGTTCTCTATGAATGAATAATTGCATTGTTGGATGTAAATGGTAAATTTTCAAGTTACAACACAAGAAAAGGCATACACTGGCATAAAACGGTGTTGCAGCGGCCGTCGCAGCCCCGATTAGTGCCAAGTGACAGTTTTTCTATTCGCGGTTTCCTGAAATTGCTTTCACTTTACAAATAACAGATTTTCAGGAAAACGAACGAACGAAACGTAATCGCAGCGGCATCGAAAAACAGTCACGACGAATACAATTTAATCGGCCCTTTCATTGGACCCACGCAGTTTTGAAAGATCGCTTAAGCTAACACGGTCAGAGAAAATAGAAAATTTGAACTCTTTGTGTGACATTCGCAGGTGCGTTAGAGTAACAAATTTTCTTTCTCCTCCGTCTTGAAAAAAGCCGATTACCGTTTGACAGTGCAGCAGATCTCCGTAACGCTGCTGAATTCATTATGCTTGTGGCTGCAGCTGTATATAATTAGTCGAAGTATGACATGCTTATGCTGTGTTAATAAACTCGCTAGATTCATTTCGCAGAGAGCCATGACAATTACAGTTCGACTTGACCCTTGAATCTTTTACGCAGGGTTTTTGCGGTGCATCGTTCACCCCACATAATCGATTGAAAAGCTCAAAATAAGCGATTCTAAATTATATCACACTGGCCAGTCGTTCTTTTGTATTTCATTTCTCCTCATCAGTCATGTAGAATTTCCCAGTCCTGTCTCAGAGTTTACTTCAAGTATTCCTTCTCTTTTCTTTCCATTTCATACTTTTCATTTCATTGATGCAGACTTTCTTGCATTCTATCTAAAAATGCCGAGACATACTAGAATCCAGCATACGAGAACAAGCGTGCTGCTGCCGCACCGACCGAAATGCAGTCGACCCGATATTAACAAGACAGCAAATTTACTTGAACACTTGGAAGTTCTTCCAACTGTTTTATAGACCTGGAAATGGCATACGATCGGGTTAGCCGTAATCGCTTGTGCACATGCCTGCAGGAGTACGGAATTAATGGTCGGCTTCTGTGTGCCATTGAGTTACTATATTATGATGGTAGGAGTTGTCAGAATAAACAGTGTTAAGTCGAAGTCCTTCACCACTAACTTTGTCAAAGTCGGCTCCAACCTTGTCAGAGGTACGGTTTGTCGCCACTTTTGTTCATTACCTATTTGGGCAATAGCCAAAAACATTCAGGGCAGAGGATGCATTACAATCGGTGAGGTCGAAGTAAGAAGTCTTCTGTTCCCAGAGGACCTGCGCCTGATGGCATCATCTGAAAAAAAGATTTACAGAGCACACGATGGATTTGCAACCGAATGCAGTTATGCTGGACTCGATCCTCTGCTGAGTGCGCCTCGCACATTAGTGGTGCCAACTGAGACAAGGAGGAGGAGTTCAGGTTCCTCGGCATCGCATTTATGAGGGGTTGACGATGGGAAAAAGAGATCGAGCGACGAATCGCCAGGGCAAGCGGTATCTCACTGGCACCATCCTCGATGGACACTGGTACAGTATAGTTCACTGAGCAGCTCGACGTCAGTCGTCCAGCATGTGGTCAATTTCTCGATAAAGCTGGCGTCAACACGGTTCATTAAATGTTCATGCTCCGCGTTTAGCAAGGCTCTCAGTTCTGTAGAATCGAACGCATTTTTAAGTCGATAAAAACAAAATAGAGCGGCACTTGATAATCGTCGCACTGTTCCATCAGTTGCTGGTTGATATACATATGGTTAATGGTGAAAAGCTCTGTAAGAAAACTTTTTACCGACTTCTGGCTAGGTCGAGATACTTCCAAGTACAGTTAAGAATGATGCTGGTGAAGACTGTGGATTTGCAGTAAATAAATGAATATATGAATATGAAGTTATGGACGTCACCTAGTGAAGACCTAACCAGTGACGGAAAAATGTGCAGGAAGTTGACTCGATTAGCGGACCCCTGTTAGTTAAAGGGAACGTGCTAGGTAAAAGAGGAAGAAGAAGTTATGGAAGTTTCCGAGTGGTGTTAAGTGATTAAAGTAATCGATTCCTTTTATACGCGTTCAGTTATGCGTCGATAAACTTGTGCTGTTATACTACGATCATCACATTGAACCGCTTGCAACAGTACGTCGGTTTGTGATGTTCATTGTATTAGTAATCTTTCACGTCCAGTGCTCTGTGGTACCGGTTACTGTGTCATAGCAAGCCACTTAACAATTCTGGTCAACAAGCTTGATCCCGATCAAATGCCGTTTGCATGTTATTTTTTTTCAATCAGTGCCAGTGAAGATGACCTTTAGCCTCTTTCAGCATATGTAAATATCCCTACCCGTAAGTCTTTTCTGCAGGCTAATCCATATCTCTGAAATACCTGGCCCTCTATCCTATTCATAAGACTTTTCATGGTCTGGCTCGGGAAGGATTCTAGCAAGGCGCTTTCTAATGTGCTGATTGTCGTTATTCGTAGAATATTTCGTTCTTCTTGAAGTCTTCATTCTTTTTCAGAGGATAGACGGCGAATGAAACGGATTCATAGTGCTTTTTCTGGAACTAATGTGTACCGCGGGTCAC